TCCTTGCTATTCTTTGGGAGTCTGCATTCCATTTTCTGTAACTTTCCCTATCTCCCTTGTATTTTGTTTTCCTTCTCTTCTCTGCTTTTTGTAAGGTCTCTTTGGACAGCCACTTTGCTTTCTTGCATTTCCTTTTCTCATAGGATCCCTTTTGTTGTGAGAAAGCTGTTGGGGATGATGGGATGGGAGGGAAGCCTTTAATTCCTGAAAATTCCTGCCACAGGATGATTTTACTAGTGGCAGTATTCCAAAATTAAAGAAATCTCCTCCCCAGTCTTGTGGTCCCTAATCAATTTACCAAAGCAAAAGAAAACCAATGGAAGCTCCAGGAGCTTTGAAGGGGATCATAATCTGTTTGTTTCTGAAGACTCACCACAGCTGATCATCATCAGTATGAAGTTAAAGTAACAGGATTAAAATAAAAATCTTAAGTATTTTAAATGGAGAACTGCCTCAGAAAATGTGGAACAATGTGGATATTAAAATATGAAGGTTTTTTTGGTCTGAGTCATGATGGGCAATATAAATCTGCACTGAAATGTGAATTATCTCCATTCTACATCCCCTGTTTCTTGTTTGTGTTTTTTCACTATTAGTGCTGATGATGATCATACAATGAACAAATAATTGTTATGTTTTATTTTGTAAAATTTCAAATAGCATTTACCATTGCCCACTGATGAAATTATTTATTTAAATTATAATTGATTTAAATTATTTATAATCTACTTTTCAACCCACAAAAGACCACCAAAGCAAAGTATATGGGGTCTTAATTCTTATCCAGATAGTAACTAAGGGAGTGATCACATGAGCATATAGTTCACTTCACCATTTGAGTTTCTTTTGGTGTGGTTTGGTTTGTCTTATTTCCCAGCAATCACATGTTTTTTTTTAAGTAGGAATGATCCATCCTGCCCCCTTTGCTAGTTGTTCCACTCCCTTGTGTTACAGCACTAGGGCTGCAGTTTGTTTTGCGTCGTCAAGAGTGCTCTTGATATGCCATTCTGCAGTCTGGGCGGTTGTTTAATTTGCTCCCAAATAGAGTTGTGGGCAGTGTTCTTTTTTGTGATAACTCTGTGACTTGTGCAGTGGGTTGTGACAATAGAAGGAATGGCAGAGAAAACCTCCTCTATTTTCTCCTAAGTGACACAGAGCTTTAAGGGAGTATCCATGGTAGGTTGATATATTGCTGTAGCATTATGCCATTTGCTATTTTAAACATAAAACAAGGAAGTTTGTGGCCATGGAAGCTATGACAAAAAGTAGGGAATGGGATGAAGAAAAGGCATCAGTTATCAAAGGGGGATAAACTGGAGTGATCTGTAGTGCTGTCTGGAGGCTTCTCAATGAAGAAGAAACATCTGTGGGAATTAAAAGATTGTTCAAGTGCGAGATAAAATAGATTGCACCAAAGATAATAAACTTTTAAATATGACCTGGATAACTCCCAATTCCTCCATATAGTCATACCCTAAATTTGTACCTGCAAATTTGTACCTGCAACGTTGCTGCACCACGTGTCAGTGGATATTTTCATTGGAAGTCTCGAATGCATGTGTCTTATTCATGCCCGGGCATTTTAAAAGTTTTAAACACTTAACCCAACATAGTAATTCACCCCAGGCAATGTTTTGTGTTGGCAATATTTAGTTTTGCTGGGCTTCGGTGGTGATCATTATGTGTGACATTTAATTTCTTTTGCATTTACAGGAAATGACAATAGTGAAATCCTTCCAGAATCTATCCCATCTGCTCCAGGAACACTGCCTCATTTTATACAAGAGCCAGATGATGCCTACATCATTAAAAGCAACCCTATAGTACTGCGCTGCAGAGCTGCGCCTGCAATGCAGATCTTCTTCAAGTGCAATGGGGAATGGGTCCACCAAAATGAGCATGTCTCCGAGGAAAGTACCGATGAAAGCACAGGTAACAGAACAATGGAATTCCGTATTGCATTGAAGAAATTATTTGTTCCAAAGTCATTGCTTTAGTGTTGTTTGGAAACAAAGAATGCTGGAACTGATTTTTTTTTAAAAGCCAGATAACCCAACTTAAAAATATTGTTAATAGAGGAAATATGTGGTAAAATAAATGAGGTTTGCTCCTCCTAAAGGAATTTGTATAGGAGTCAGCTATTGAAAGTGGCAAGGGACTATGTTTCAAATTCTTAAACATTTTTATGTTTTTTTCCCCTCAAATATTAGTAGTTCCAATTTTAGCTAATTTTAGGAAGAGTGTGATGTCACATCCTTGTGAATTTGCTTTTAAATTGTCTTGATTTTTCTAATTATTGGAATAGTTACAATGATTTTGGTATTTTTATGGTCTCTGTGATGCAGTGATGTTTCTTAGCCACCTTGAGTGCTATTCTGTGCGCAGACGCTTTGAGGCCCCAAGAGAGAACATCTCAACTGTGGTCTTGGGAGCCACTATGGTACACTTTGCAAAAGGGTTTGCGTGTATGAATTATGTACTGTATGCTTTTCCCATTAATGTCATCAATAAGCTTATTCTTTTATGTAAGGATTTGACTTATCCTTGTGTACCCCTGAACTGAATATAGTGAGATTTCGAGTGCAGCAGCAACCCCCTTCAAGTTAAAACAGCTCAGATAATAGGGATTTTGTTTGTTTTAAAAAGTGTTTCTAATAACTACGGTAGCTACTTCTCCATGGTCAAAAAGAGAAGCCACTTTGCTTTCTTGCACTTCCTTTTCTTTGGGATGGTTTTTGTTGCTGCTTCCTGTACAATCTTACGAACCTCCATCCAAAGTTCTTCAGGCACTCTGTCCACCAAACCGAGTTCCTTAAATCTGTTCTTCACTTCCACTGTGTATTCATAAGGGATCAGATTTAGGTTATACCTGACTAGCCCAGTGGGTTTTTCTTCTTTCTTCAGTTTAAGCTTGAATTTTGCTACAAGAAGTTGATGATCAGAGCCACAATCAGCTCCAGGTCTTGTTTTTGCTGACTGTTTAGAGCTTCCTCATCTTTGGCTGCAGAGAATATAATCAATCTGATTTTGGTATTTCCCATCTGGTGATTTCCATGTGTAGAGTCGCCTCTTGTGTTGTTGGAAAAGAGTGTTTCTGGTGACCAGCTTGTTCTCTTGACAAAACTCTATTAGCCTTTGCCCTGCTTCATTTTGAATTCCAAGGCCAAAGTTACCTGTTGTTCCTTTTACCTCTTGACTCCCTACTTTAGCATTCCAATCCCCTAGAATGAGAAGAACATCTTTCTTTGGTGTCAGTTCTAGAAGTTGTTGTAAGTCTTCATAGAATTGGTCAATTTCAGTCTCCTCAGCACTGGTGTTGGTGCATAAACTTGGATTACTATGATGTTGAAAGGTCTGCCTTGGATTCGTATTGAAATCATTCTATCATTTTTGAGTTTGTATCCCAGCACAGCTTTACCCACTCTTTTGTTGATTATGAGGGCTACTCCATTTCTTCTATGGAATTCTTGCCCACAAGAGTAGATATGAAAATTGTCTGAATTGAATTTGCCCATTCCCATCCATTTTAATTCACTGACGCCCAGGATGTCAACGTTTATTCTTGCCATCTCCTGTTTGACCACATCCAGCTTCCCAAGGTTCATAGATCTTACATTCACAGTTCCTATGCAGTATTTTTCTTTGCAACATCAGACTTTCCTTTCACTTCCAGGCACGTCTGCAGCTGAGCATCCTTTTGGCTTTGCCCCAACCACTTCATTAGCTGTGGAGCTACTTGTACTTGTCCTCCGCTCTTCGTCAGTAGCATGTTGGACGCCTTCTGACCTGAGGGGCTCATCTTCCAATGTTATATCTTTTATCCCTTTGTTTCTGTTCATGGAGTCTTCTTGCCAAAGATACTGGAGTGGCTTGCCAGTTCCTGCTCCAGGTGGATCACATTTAGTCAGAACTCTCCAGTATGAGCTGTCTGTCTTGGGTGGCCCTGCACGGCATAGCCCATAGCTTCTTTGAATTACTCAAGCCCCTTCACCATGACAAGGCAGCAATCCATGAAGGGGATATAAAGAAGACAGAACAATAAATCATGAATTATATCATCAATCTCATTACAGCCATAGGCACATATTCATTCTGGAGACTGGGGTTCCTTGGTATCATCCTTCAAGATATACAGAGGGCATCTGTTGGAATCTGAGCTCTGTAAAAGCTCTGCAGAGCTGTGGAATAGATAGTGTTTTAAAATAGTATCACTTTATATGGTTAACTTGTAAGTTGAGGATACCAGGTAGAAGATTGTGACCCAACAATGGCAGCCCTGTCTTGGCTGGCATCAGAATAAAAGAGCCACTTCCCAAGTTCTTGGGGACAGAAACAAAGAAACCTTTGCATGGAAAGGCTGTAAACCATTAACTTTTCTTGACACCACTGTGCCCATCTTCCTGTTTGTAACTGTTCAAGCCAGCAGCAATTGGTCAGTGAGTGGCTGTCCATACTATTTAGCCTACACCAATATCTAAAATAGACCAAATTAATTCTGGCTATAATTGAAAGGAGACCCAGCTCAACCCTAATATGAGCAGAAGGAGTCCTTGTGGGTACCCCCAGTATCTGCCTCATGAAGCTATTCTGCACAAGCTCCAAACTAGACTTCCTCTCCCCATATTTCTCCCCCATAAAGCATTTGAGCCAAAATGGTGGGATTTTTAGCTGGCCTCCTCTAACATAAAAAAACCCCTCTTCAGCTGGCCTATACAATGGAACTCAGTAAGGTAATAACATTTAGGTGGTGCTTCCAAGAAAGAGTCTCACTGTAATGCAGAGCCATATATTTAAATGATTGCATCTGCTCAATGGTATGTCCATTGAGTGACCAGTTATACTTAGGGGCTGTCTTCCCAAGGACCATGATCTCAGTTTTTGAATAATTGATTGTTATTCATTCATCTTTACAAAGTTGGCCAAATTTGATCAACATTCGTTCGAGGCCAGTTTAGTTCTGGGATAACAGAACCAAATCATCAGCATAGAGCAGCATCAAAATCTTACAATTGCCAATACCCAGAGGGCAGAATGAATGAGAAGCCATTCCAGTGATCAGGTTATTAATAAAAATAAATAAATAGGAAGGGTTCTAGGATGTAGCCTTGTTTCACCCGTTGGTTGATACAAATTTGTTCTGATAGAGCACCTGTTAAACCAGTTCCCACTTGCAGCATATTGTTTTGATGTAGCTGCTTTATAAACCACAGGAGTCTTCTATCAATATTTGTTTGGGCCAATTGGTGCCATAGGTGCCCTTGATCTAGGAGGTCAAAAGCTGGGGAAAACATCTGCAAAGTTATACGTATTTGGTTCCTTAGTGAATTTTCTAATTAAGTGATGCAGGACAAAAGCTTTATCTATTGTGCTTCTGTCCTTTCCAAAAACCTGCTTATTCCTCAAATATGATTGGTTATTGTCCCATTCAGGGAGCTTGCTCAGAAGATACCATATGTAAAGTTTGGAAGCCACATGAAGGAAGCTAATTGGTCTTCAGTTACTGGGGTCTGATTAATTGCCTTTCTTAAAAAGTGGCTCAATGTTACTGGTTTGCCAGCCTGGGGGGAGATTACTTTTGCAGTTAATACAGCTAAATAGATTGGCTAAAACAGGGAACCACCAATTGATGTCAATGATGAACACCTTGACAGGAATCATATCCTCACCCGGGGCCTTGCCATTACAAAAAGTCATGTTCAGAACCCCAATTTCTGCAGGAGAGACAGGCAGCCATACTGGGAGATTGGGTTTTTTTCACCGTGCAATGATTGGTTCCCTGCTTCGGGAAGTGATTTTCACTTTACGACGACCAGCAAACAGGTGATCGTCGGGTTTCAAAATGGTCACTGGCTAAAGAAAATGGCCCCCCACTGTTTTCTAGAACGGATTTCTCACTATACAGGCAACGAAAATGGATGCCGTATGGAGGATCTTCGCTGAACGAGCAGGTATTCAGCCCATTGGAACACATTGAACAGTTTTCAATGTGTTTCAATGGTTTTTTTTAATTTCATTTGACAATGTTTTCGCTCTACAGTGATTTCGCTGGAACGAATTAACGTCGTCAAGCGAGGCGCCACTGTACGTTGTTGTTAAATAAGGGCTAAGTATATGTCTTATGTCCTGATATAACTCACAAATATTCTGGGACACATTGAGAGCATGCTGTCATAGCTCTAGAAGCTTAGCTGTTCTCAACATCTGCTTTATAATGGCATCTGTTTGGGGAACCATTTAAGACTTTTTCCCCTTGCAAATGACCTGGTGTTCTATGAGCTGTTAAAACTCTGGATTGTATTTGTTGAAATTTTAGGGCCACTCTAAGCGGAAGATGGTTGCTATCGGGTCTATCACCAGTTGCTAGTATTTGCTCGTAGTGGACTACACCAGGTGACCCCAGAACACAGTTGACTACACTGGCTCCCTTATCAGATAAATATGTATAATAGCCTTTTGAATGGTCCAAATGCTCACGATTAAGACAGACAAGTTGGAGTTTATAAATCAAATGAAATAGAAATAGAAATTGGCCATACTTGCTAATTGTCTTTTCTTGGGAATTTGTATCTCCTCCAAGCTCAAACCCTAGGGGTTTGTCCATCATATAATAATTGTTGCCTCTTCTGGCATTAGAATCGCCACAAATTAGAAAAATATAGGATACACAGTAAGGAAACCAAAGTGTAAAAAAAATCCCGTTTCCCCAAACATCTGTTGAGGAGCCAATAGGTCTTGGTGGAAGATTGACATTAACTTTTTGTTAATGGGGCCTGATTTGCAACCTTTGATAGCCAAAACCTGTCAATAATTAGAGTTTAAGTCATTTGTTTCCTCTCCCTCCACCTCAAGGGTAGAGGAGATTGAGATAACTAAACCTCCGCTACCACAGCCTGAAGAGGCGGTTTTCTGAGCAGGATGTTCCCATGTCCTAA